GTGGTCTCGGGAGCGGGCAGGGTTGCGCGCATGCGAGGTGGCGCCGCGCGGTGGTCCTGCTACCCGGGAGGTGGCCGCGGAGTTTCTGCCTCTGGCGGACTTGTGCCCGCCCGCCCTTCTCGCTCCTCCCTTCCCCGCTCTGTCACCAGTGGTCGAGCATCCCCGGAAAACCTCCAGGGCCGAGCCCAGGCCGGCAGCCACGCGAAGGCTGGCTGCACAGCACGGAATCGGACTCGGGCGGAGCAACAAGCCCTGCATCGGGCTTGTCGAGGAAGCTGGGTGCCTTTGGGCATGGGTCTTGTACCAGGATTCCCCAAGAGCCAAGGCATGGTGACTGAGAAAAAGAAAGACTTCATGAAGGGAGCGCCCAGGCCTTGCCCGTCTCCATCTTCTCATCCACCCCTAAATCTTTAGGCGGAGTAACAGAAACTCAGGCCCACCTTGTGAGGCTCAGAGAGGACCTTGTCAGACCAAGAAAGCTGGCTTCCCCCAATTGTCCTGAGCACTTAGTTGTGCCATCCACGATTAGAGTGCCGCAGGAGAAGCCGGGGTCCTGGGCTTAACTCCTGTGACTGGCTCCCAGCACGCCCTGGAAGGCACGAAACCTCGATGTCTTAAAGTACAAAGTGGGAACTGTAATCCCGCCCACGCAGGGCTATTTGGGATTGATAGAAAAGGTTTACGGCTGACAAGTTGGCACACAGTACACCTGGGACAAGTGTCCTGTCTGCATCTCTGAGGCCTGTGATTACCTGGTCATGCAGGCTGCCCTCTGGCCCACACTGCAGGAGGAGACACTCAGTCTCTCTCCCCTCCCCGCCAGTTTCCTAGTGTTGGTTAATGATTTCATTAACCTCTCAGTCACCCAGACTTCTCCTGCCTCTGCCTTTTCCTTCTCACCCCTCCATCTCTGGCCGCCCAAGTGTAACCTCCTCCCTATTTCCACTCCCTCTGGTTCCCGCCAAGAACTACCTATCCAGCAAGGAGCACTTTCACAGATGTGGCTACCACCTGAGAACAGTGTTCCAAGACTGCAATCCCCCTTCCCTTTGGCCTCTTTCTGCTGCCTGGATGCTCATTTCAGGGGCTCTGCTCTCTGCACGCCCAAATCATGTTTACAATGAAAGGATCTTCCATCTGTCCAGTATAGCTCAGTCCTGCGCACTGCCCCCCCATGTCAATTTCTCCACAAAACCGAGTTGCCACCCTTAAGCCTCCCCATCCTCCCCATGGCCCTCCAAGCATGCTGCCTCTATGGAGGTCTCAGTTTCTCTAGTGAGGCCCAGCTCCCGAAGGGCAAGGCTGAGCTGTTTTCAGGGACACAGGAGCGTTTGGTCAATCCAAATAGACCAGGGCTCCAGCCTTCTTTCAGCCAGTTACTTGTACGATCTAAATAAGCTCTGTGTCCCCTCCCAGCCTCATTTCCCTGGTCTGCTAAACAGGCTTTTTACAGAAGTACGTGATGACCAGGTTCAAGCATGTTGTAGGCTCAATACAGACTCATCACAGGGTAGATGGCAGCATGGCCTCTGTGCAGGGAAACTCCCCCAAACTCCAGCATGCAGCTGGGGTCGTAGCTGAGAAAGCCAGTTTAGTCTGCTTCTGCACACAAACCACAGGGTTTCCAAGGACACTCAAGCCTTTTTGTTTCTCAGAGCCTTGGAGCCACAAAAGCAGTATTGTGTGGTGGTTGCAAGCACAGACTCTGCCTCAATTCATTAACTGGTGAACCTTGGAAAGGGCCCCAAACCTGCTGTAGAACCAGCATAGTAACACCCATACCTGCAGATGTGGGGACTTACTGGATTGATCCACAGTGAGCTCTTACTGGGGCCCCTGAATGTTTCAGTCTGGCCCAGATCCCTCACAGTATAAAGATGCTGGTCCCCAGAAACACGGATGTGTTGACATGGCATCCTGCCATGTTAGAGCTGCCCACCTCACAGCCCATTTCTGGCAGCTTTCAGCTCAGAATGGTGAGGCCAGAGTCCTTGAGAGACAGTGGCCTGTCCTAAGCACTCAGCTTCGTGTGTTTTGTGGGGGGTGCTCCTGAGGAAACGAGGATGTCAGGAAAAGCCAGGGCTGCCCGACAAGTTTGAGGAAAGGGTGGGGCCTGGTGGTGCTCTGGCCCCAGGACCCTGCTGGTTGGTTTTTATAGGCTTACTCATCTAATGGTTCCATTAAAGGGCCTGATGTGTAGGTGCTTTTCCGTTTAATCAACCATTCAGTGCAAGAGCCTTTATTAGCCCTGTTTTACTGATGACAAACTAAGCCTCGGGGAGATGCCCCAGGTCACACAATTAGTAAACTGCAGAACTGGATCCAGAGCCACCTGGACTCCATTCACTCTAGTGCCCCTCCCCTCAGACTCCCCTGACCTCTAGGGAAACTTCACCTCTACAGGCTGCCTGACCAGCTGGCCAACCTCTGCTTGGACCTCTGCAACTGGGAACTCATTTCCTCTCAGGACATCCCTTTCCCTCTACTTGGGAGAATCTGTTATCATCCAGAGCAGATTAAACCCTTTCCTCTTGGCTCTGTAAGACTCTATACCCCTCAGCCTACCACTGCCTGAAGACAAAATATTCTCTGCTGCAGGGGGACAGGTCCAGGCAGTCACACAGAACTTCCACTTGGGAGTAGTTGCTAGTCCTACCCTAGTGGTGGGAAAAGGACAGAACACATGTCATACAAAAGGGATTGTGCAGGACAAAAAAGAACTTTTGAGCTGCTTGAAATTCCTTCTTTGAAATGCTGTTTATATTTCATTACTATCTTTCATATTAAAATCTATTGCAGAGCTGGGGATGTGGTTCAGGTAGTGGGATGCTTCCCTAGCATGCACAAGGGGAAAAAAAAGTAAAATAAAAGTCCTAGCACTAGGGGGAAAAAAAGTAAAAACCTAACCAGAGTCAGATATGGTGGTACACACCTATAATTCCAACTACTCAAGAGGCTGAGGCAGGAGGATCCCTAAATTAAAGACCACCCTGAGCAATTTAGTTACTTAGCAAGACCTTGTCTCAAAATAAAAATAAATAAAACTTTAAATAGCATTGAGATTGTACTTAGCTCAGCGCAAAAATTCTGAGTTTAATTCCCAGTACTGGGGAAAAAAGTGGGACCATATATTACATCTAACAGAAGAAGAAACTCTATATGGATTAAGAATCTAAGTATAAACAAATATTCCATATGTCTTAGCTCAAGCTGCTATAACAAAATAGTATAAACTGGGTGACTTATAAGTAATAGAAATTTATTTCTCCCATATCTGGAGGCTGGAAATCTCAGGTCAGGACACCAGCATGGTTCAGTTCCAGTGAGAGACACCTTCTGGGCTGTAGAGTGCTGGTTTTGTCTTGTACCCTTGCCTGGCTGAAGGAGAGCAGGGGAGCTCTCTGGCCTCTCCTAATAGGGTCACTATTTCCATTCATAAGGTCTCCACCCGCATCATCTAGTTACCTCTCAAAGGCCTCACCTCAAAATCCAGTTGTCCCTTGGTATTGACACAGGGTATTAGTTCCAGGACACCCTTAGATACCAAAATACAGTGACACTTGAGTCTTTCATGTAAAATGGTGTAGTATTTCTTTCATATACGCTATCCATAACCCCTATATACTTTACATCCTCTCTAGATTACTTATAAAACCTGATACAATGTAACAGTGCTATGCTAATAGTTGTTATACTATATATTGTTTAGAGGATAATAAAGAAATAAAGTCTTTCAGTATAGGTGCAACTTGTCTGTTTGTTTGTTTTTTGTTTTTTAGCCCAGGCTGGCCTCAAACTGCCTTAACCTGGGAGGAAATATTTAATTCATAGCACCATACAAGGATTGGAAGAAATGACGGATAAATTTTTATCTAACTTTGATGTTGGGGAAGACTTACTAACAATGACTCAGAATCCAGAAGCAATAAAAGACTGATAAGTTTAACCACATAAAAATAAAAATTTTGCATGGCCCCAATTTTTTGACGTAAAGATTCAAAATCAACTGAAAGACAGGGAGAAAATACTTACAATATACACCAGCAGGGGTAGATATTACAAATCTACAAGTAATTCTTGGCAGGCCAGACCCAGGGATGACTCTCCCAGTAAACATTATGCTTTCAGCAACTGCAATCTCCAGCAAATAGGCTACTTCA